TTCATACAGACGTTTCCCTGGGGAAGAATCGCAAGTGGAATGGGAGAGCAGGGGGAGCTAGTGGCAATAAAAGATGAATGAAAACGTGCAGGAAGGGGAGACAGTTTGGAAATGTAGAAGAAAGGTAAGAGGTAGAAGGGACTGAGGGAGAGAGAGGTCACAGCAGGGGGAAGGACTGGAGGATGGTTGGCCAGTAAACAATATGTTTCCTTGTACCGAAGTTTTACATTTTCGTGTAGATATTTTGCCTCAACCAGCATATATGTCCTTGAGTTTTGGAGTGAGGGCCTGAAGATGGTGGGAGATGCTGATGGATGAAAGCAGGATTGGTGATAAAAATCACTTTTCCTCCAGCGCAGGGGGTTTTTATGCGGACTTTCTGCTCACTGGCTTGAGGATGGTAACAGTTTTATACCTTCGACCAGGTTTAGAAGAGGAAGAATTATATAGTGCACTGAGCCTCATATCCCGTTTGGAACGATAGAGACATGGCTGGTGCAGGAGCGGAGTGGAGTTGAAAATAAGAAATATATACCTTGGTGAACATGTGTTTTATTTCTAAGCACAAAGCCAGATACTATTAAGACGATGCCCGAGGCCATGAAGGACAAAAAGAAGACTCTTTGGCCTGGTGCCCTGGTCCCAGGGCCTTGCCATGGGGGAGTAGGCATGGGGGAGTAGGCATGGGGGAGGCAGCAGCAAAAGACTCCAGCCTGTTGGGTGTGTGGGGGAGGCCAATCTGCCGTCCCCATCAGCGGGCCCAGCTCTCTGCTCCTCGGAGCCTCCCAGGACTTGGGACTGAGGTTACTCCAGGCCTTTGGCGTCACTGGCTCTCTGGCCTCGAGAACCCCAGGAAAGGAACAGGCTGGGATGAGGCAGACAGGAGTGGGTGGAAAGCATATACCTTGGTGAATATATACCTCAGGGCCCTAGTGCCCCGAGGAAGTCAACCAAAGGAAGTAGATAAGACCTCGCTTTCACACTGAGGGCAGGTCGGTGACTCAGGGAATGATAATAGTTCAGCTCTAAGTGCAGTCTCACCTGCGCAGCCGCGGGCCCACGTTACAGGTAATCGCGCGTGGCACCCACCTGCAGACAGTGTGGCGGGCGGGTTAGCCCTCCTTCAGTGGTTGTGAAAATCAGAAACACTGAGATGTACATACCACAGGGCCGGAGCTCAGCTTAAAGCCCTGCTGCTCCCAGAGGGGCCCATGGACCAGCATGACCCGCATCACCTGGGAGCCTGTTAGAAATGCAGAATCTCAGGTCCCACCCCAGACCTACTCAATCAGAATCTTCACTGTAACAAGAGCCCGACGTCATTCACACACACACTAAACCAAGAAAAGCTGCTCTGCCCGTCACTGGCAGGGAGAGGACAGGAAGAGGTGTGCTGGGGAGGCCGGGAAGGGTTCTGTATTTTGAGAAGAGTGGGTCCTGGGAGAGCTGAAAGCACTCTCCTGCGTGGCAGCCCCATCCGAGCTATTTCTGGATCCGCAGGGGTGACTGCGGCTTCACCTCCACCTCTTCCAAGGGCTCTGCTGCCAGGGCGGGAGTACGTCCTATGATCTCATTTTATAACGAGGCTGTGTGTGTGTGTGTGTGTGTGTGTGTGTGTGTGTGTGTGTGTGTGTGTGTTTTAATTTATGTGGATGACATTAGTTAATAAAATTATATAGGTGTCAGGGGTACAATTCTGTAATACATCATTTGTTTATCACATAGTGTGCTCACCACCCAAAGTCTAGTTTCCCTCCCTCACAATATATTTGACCCCCTTCACCCTCCCTCACCCCACTTTCCCTCTGGTAACCACCCTCCTGGTATCTGTGTCTTTGAGGTTACTTGAGTTTAGATGTCACAATTTCTTCATCTCTGACATCCCTGACCGGATCCTCAAACTTTTCTCGGATCTATTGTAGCCCATTAATTTATGTGGATGACATTAGTTAATAAAATTATATAGGTGTCAGGGGTACAATTCTGTAATACATCATTTGTTTATCACATAGTGTGCTCACCACCCAAAGTCTAGTTTCCCTCCCTCACAATATATTTGACCCCCTTCACCCTCCCTCACCCCACTTTCCCTCTGGTAACCACCCTCCTGGTATCTGTGTCTTTGAGGTTACTTGAGTTTAGATGTCACAATTTCTTCATCTCTGACATCCCTGACCGGATCCTCAAACTTTTCTCGGATCTATTGTAGCCCATTAGACAATGTATCGGTCCTTTCTAAGAATCCACTTTTTAAAAATTTAATCCCATTAATGCTAGAATCTATTATAGCCTAAAGCAGTCTTAGAATCTTACATATAGAATTTGGATCTGCAGGGGTGACCTGATAGGAAAATATTTTTGTTCTTATTCGCCTTTAGTCTTTGGAGGGAAGATCTGTATTTTGGGAGAGATGAGAGGAGCGTCCTCGGAGATTGGGTGGCCAAAGGCAGAAGCTATCATACTCTCTCTGTGCAGGTCCTCTTGTCTGGGGTGCAAGGTTATGTCGCTTAAGCACATGATCAGGGAATTCTCATCACTGTGGGAGGACTTCATTCTGCTGTTAAGTGTGGGGAAGAGGATAAAATCCCTCTTAAAATCTTCCCTGATCAACACTTCCCTTACCTGAAAAGGAAAAAGAAGCGCCTTGGCCGGTATGCCTCAGTGGTTAGCATGTCGTCCCCCACACTGAAGGGTTGCGGGTTCGATTCCCAGTCAGTATATGCCCAAATTGAGGGTTCAATCCTTGGTTGGGGCTCGTGTGTGAGGCAATGGAGTGATATTTCTCTCTCTCCCCTGTCTCTTCCTCTCTGTCTGGAATCAATGAAAAACTTATCCTTGGGTGCAGATTAAAAACACACACCCGTCTCCCATTAAAAAAGAAAAAAAAAGAAACAATAGGAGTTTATGAAGAAATTCTTTATCTCTTGCCAAGGGCCACAGGCCAGCTGAGCATCATCTACAAAGAGATTCAACGGAATAGAATGTGTTATAAAGGGGACCAAGAGCAGTTTCCAAGATGTTTCTTTATAATATTTCTTTTGCTAATAAGTAACCCATTTGCCCGGATGTAGGGCCTTTGGTTAATCATTACGTAGATTTTAGTAATTATCCCTTCTGCTAGGCACATAGCTCCTACAAGGTCATACTCTTTGCTCATTAGCTTGGGGCCCCGTGGTAAGTCCCCCACTCTTCCCCAGGTCAGTCCCAGGAGAATTGGCTCACAGGGTACGTGGTCACTGTAGCGTAGCACGTGGCTAATCCTAAAATTGCCTCCATCCTGCCTCCAGCTGGGAAGCCCATGCTGTTCTGTGCCACACAGAAATCTTCCGTGGCCTGTCACATGCACATGTCAGAGTTGCCACTTAGTGTTCAGTGCCCCTAAAATCATGTGTGAACTCTGAGTGGAACTCGAAGCTTACTTCTTCCACATAAATATTGTTTATCTTAAAAGATGAAAGAAAAATCATACCACAACTGTCTCCTATATCTTACCCTCTGGCGCAGCATATCAAATCATGTTCCCTTACATATCTCGAAACTACTGGAGTGGTTAATAAAACATGCTTGCTCTCAGTGTCTTGTGTCCCTCAGCCAGAATAGATAATAAGGGACTTACCCTCTTTATCCCCTCCTGTTCAAGGATCTTCGCTAACTCGGTCTATATATGAAGGCACTTCCTTACAGCCGTATCTTCATTTAAATTCTCCTTTATTTGTTAACCTCCATCCAAAGTGCTGGGGTTTCTATTCTTTCTCCCAATTTTTGTCTTACTTCTGCTGAGCTCTGTTCCTTTTGTGTTTTCTGGCCATCTCTGGCAGTCCACCTACCCTGCAGTTGATCGTTTTGTACTCCCAGTGGATATGGGGAAAACGAAGTGCCATAAAACCCGAGAGAGCTAGGGGGAAGTCTTTCTGTCTGGGGCAAGGGAAAGCACCCAAGGAAGTGACATCCGAGTGGACCGAGGGCAGAGGTGCAGCAGGTGTGAGAGGTGGTGAGAGGGTTTGGGAGCGAGACAACCCACGCAGAGAGAACTGCAGGTTTGCCAAGGACTTGTCAATAGCACCTGCTAGAAAAACAATTGCCTTACTTACTCAGACAGAGAATCAATTACAGTCATGTACGTACTATGCTAGGGATGTACTTCCCTACATCAGGGCGTGAGTGGTTTCATCTGGGGGATTGGAAATGTTTTCTTTTTAATAAATAGGCTTCAGTTTCCATGATGATGTCTGTTTTAACCAAATGATATAGACATAATCTATGTAATCTGCCATCTTGTTTTAACTGTGCTTTTTCTTGAGGAGGATTGGATAATGAGCCAGAAGTACTAAAACAAAAACAGGAGTTCATCATCCAGAAACGTATTTTCATTGTGCTTGATTGTCAAAATGTTTCCCATCCATTAAAAGAGGTGCTTATGCTTTCAAGAGGAACCAGGTGCAAAGAAAGTGAATGATCTCAATGGTTCCATGTATAGATTCATAAATAGCCATAGAAAACTGGATAAAAGAATGTTAGATATTATTTGGCTTGTGTCTTTATATTATAGGTGAGGGATCTAGGGATGGGAGAAAGTGGGCCAGTTGCCCAAAGTCACATGGTCACTGACCTAAGGGTCACAGCAAACCTTCCCCCAGCCTCCCCAGTCCTCACACCCCCTCCTCATTCCTTACTCAGAGGGGGCAGGGCACACAGACTGCAAAATCTCTCCTTCATAATGTTTTAGAGTCATCCCAACTGAAATGATCTCAGATTACTATTTAGGCTTTGAATTACGTAAAGGATTTGAACTGTTCGTTACTCAGATTCTAATGGGCAGTTCTTTATCTGGTAGAACATTCTGATCAAGGATTTTAAAGAAGGTATGACTAATAGATTCCACAATTCGGATACCATCTACAAATAGTGTTAACCAAATAAACAAGCCTCTGGTTTTCTAAAACATAAGGTCAGAGTATGTTCTTTTATAGTTCTGACATGATTTCTTTTTTTTGCTTTAGGGTACTTTTGTCTTCGGTGACACTGCTGTCTATATATTCAATAAACCTTCTGTTGATCTGTTCAAAGGAAACAGGTAAGCTGCTCATAGGTCTACTTTTGTTAAAGCCAGGAGGAAGGATTCTGATGGTGATGAAATTGTAAACAAATGATGCTCTTCCTGCTCAGAAACTTGATTATTAAAGAAAAAGAGCACTTCAGCCGTCAGTCACTGGAAGACCTATAGTAGTATTTACACAGAGAAATAGATACAGCAACTGTAAATTAAATTGTCATGAAGAGTGCACAATGGTGTTGTCATTTAAATAAACCCTCAATTATACCTCTTTTTTTTTTCTTCCTACTTTAAGATGACTTCCTTTTAAAGGCTTTTGTTTTTCCCCGGGTCTTTATACATCCAGAACAAGGATCCCATGTTTTTTATATTATAGCCTCCAAGTTCTAAAAGTAAACAGAGCTTTCATTCTCTTCTGTGCCTATTTCAAGGAGAAAATGTTACTCGCGAGGGACTATGGGAGTGAGTGTGCTAGGAAAAGATTTCAAGGACTCTGTGCAGTGTAATACCTGAAGTGTTTATTTTCTATTCCTGGGATAATGGGTTATGTTTGTAATACTTTGACTTTTGCATTAGCTAAAATTACATTGCCCGACTGTTATTGTGTATAGACGACTCCATTTAACTGGAACATTCTGTAATAAATTGAGGGTCTAACCGTTGTCTGGTTTAAACATCAGTCTTATGAGAGATTAAACAAAAGTTTAATTTAGCCTGACCCATATTACTTCTGTGAACCTTTTGAAAATGTCAGCTGAATTGTCATAAAGAAATAGAAACACTTTTTTAAAAATGGATGGCTTTGAATCTTAGTATTTATTGAGAAAGGCTAGTTGAATACTTTAGAATTTTGCTAGAGCCAAATTATTGTTTAGGTAGACCTCTTGACTGCTCTCTTAGGTGAGTTGCTTACTTTTGAACTAAATTTTACAAACAATCAGAATTCTGATGGTGTGACTATTACATGTTTCTGAACTTGTTATTATATTTAGAATACATGAACATTGAAGGAATATGATTAGGATAGTTCTTTGTTAACCTAAACATTCAGGTTATTAATTAAAAGAGAGCCTTTTATCCCAACTGTAAGGATTTTTATTTTTAAATCAAACCTTTATTTTAATGATATTCACCAGACCTGACAACACGTCCGAGTGAGGAATTCCCCCAGTAAAGTAAAAGGACTATTTAAGGTAGTCAGAAATAAGCCTTATGACCTAATGGTTGAATTGTAATGCTTTTGTAGCCAACCTGAGAAAGGAGAATTCGTGGTCATGTCTGACATTTAAAAATGTCAAGAGGTTGTTTATTTATTTATTTTTTTAATTTAAATTCTTTATTGCTTAAAGTATTACATAAGTCTCCCTTTTCCTCCATTGACCTCTCCTCAGCCACCCCCACCCTCCAAGCGAAATAAGCCAGTCAGAGAAAGATAAAAAGATAACGATCTCACTCATTTGTGGAATATAATGAACAACATAAACTGATGAACAAAAATAGTCGCAGAGACGAGAAGCATCGAACAGACTGTCAAACTTCAGAGGGAATGCAGGGGAGTAGGATGGGGCCCGTGGTTGGGGGGCAGGTAAGAGATCAACGAAAGGACTTGTATGCATGCATATAAGCATAACCAATGGATACAGACACTAAGGGGGTGAGGGTATGTGCTGGGGGATTGAGGTGGCAGGGAGAGGTCAATGGGGGGAAAAGGAGACGGGGGGCGGGACGGACAGTGAAGGGGTAAGAGATCAACTACAGGACTGTATGCATGCATATGAGCATAACCAGTGGCCAAGGTTGTTTTACGACGAGAATGCCCTTAACCCTTGCAAAGTCAAGAAGGCCATTTGTGTGGTTTTGAGAAAGACATGAAATAACTTGGGGAATAGTCAGTAGTGTGATGAATCTTGGCTAGTTTTAACTTTTAGAGCCCTGTCATTTCTTGTGTTCTCAAATACGATGTCTAAATAGGTTGCATGGTTTATGAAAAGCTGGGAGAGCAGGTCTTCGGCACCACGGGGAAGTTTGTCATCTTTGGAGCCACCTCTCTACAGAACACAGGAGGTAAAAACAAACACAACCATGCTTTTATACTTAACTTTAAAGTAGGTGGTCCTGCTGGCGTGGCTCAGTGGTGGAGTGTCGACGTATGAGCCAGAAGGTCACGGTTTAATTTCTAGTCAGGGCACATGTCCAAGTTGTGGGCTCAATCCCCAGTGTGGTACGTGCAGGAGGCAGCTAACCAATGACTCTCTCACCATTGATATTTCTCTCTCTCCCTCACCTTTCCTCTCTCTGAAATCAATAAATATATATTTAAAAAAATAAAGTAGGTAAACTTTATTATGTTTTCTAATTCTGGTGGGTGGGTGGTCACATGAATTTTAACATAATTCAAGAAGTTATCATTCCCATTGCTAAAACGCAACATGGAAAGTAAAGTGGAGACAGCAGTCACTTATTTAAAACCAAGGAAACTGTGAGAGTATCTAACGCTGTCTTCGTGTCTTACTGAAGGTTACTCTAAGAGCAGGCTGGTAACCTTTTATACGGCTTGCAACATGAACCTCAGTATCTTCTTTCTAAAATGTTCTCATTTTCCTCTAGCAATGCTGAGCTACCTCTTCATAGTCAAAAATGAACTACCCTCTGCCATAAAGTTTCTAATGGGAAAGGAAGAGACATTCTCGTAAGTCATAGACCCTTTTTTTGGTAAGGTAATTAAAATGTTTTTAATCGAAATGTGGGCTAACCAAAGTTTTTGTTTTATGAAAATAGCCGAAACAAAGTTTTCTCCAGGCTGTTTTTTCTGTTTGTTGTTTCAACATGTTTCTCTGGAGTTATCTAAGTAAAAGAAGCAGAGAGAACCCCTTGAATATGAGCATTTCCAAGGCAGATTCATCGGTCAGGCTGCAGAATGGTAGATGCTGCATTTTCTCAAGAGCCTAAAATCTCTGTCTAGTTTCTGTGAAATGGAACAGATACAGAGTATTTTTTAACACAGATGTAGAACATGCAAAAAACAAAACAAAATTAAGACCCTTTTTAAAAAGAAGGGACATAGCATTTTGGAAGCAAAACTTACATGAGCCACCTTCGTTAAAGATGTAGTTAACCCTGGAAAATGTTGCAGCTACACTTGGTACAGCCGTTATGTTTTGACTCTCTCTTGTTTAACTGTCCTTGTGGGTCTTAGTTTCTGTTTTCTTTCAAGGGAGAATCATCGAAGCCATAGCCCTAGTGTTCTATAATCAGGATTTAAGGTCAAATGCAAGAGATAAGGGAGAGAGCCTGTGGTGACTTGTTTTTCGAGGATATTAGGCAGCCAAAACAAAAAGGAACTTTCTCTTTAAATAATTGATGATACAAGTTGTAATCTGACAGAATGCAATGTGTGCATTCAGCTTTGAAGCCACATAAATAATTCAAAGGAATGCCTCATTGGCCAATAGAGGAGGAAAAGAAAACAATATCCCTTCTTCCGTCGCACGGGGGAAAGACAGCAGTAAAGGAGTAGTGGTTGCGTTAAAGTGTTTGGATAACACCTGAATAATGATAAAATTTAATAACAATGAAAATATTAGTAAAAATTTTCTGAGGAAATATGGCCTCCCCGATGAAATGTCTTTCAGAGCCTGGTACGTGGATGGCCGTGTCCTGGTGGTGATTGTCACCTTCAGCATAATTCTCCCTCTGTGTCTCCTGAAAAACTTAGGTAAGGAAAGATCTCTACAGTGCCCAGATAAATCAGAAACCTAGTAAAATGAGCAACTTTGCCCTCAACTTTCACTTATACAGTAAAAATTAAGTAAATGATAAGTTATAAGTATTAACCAGTCTCAACTTTAATATGGGATATAACTGTGGCTCAGTTGGTTGGGCGTCATCCTGCGCACCAAAAAGTTGCCAGGTCGATTCCTGATCAGGGCACATGCCTGGGCTATGGGCTCAGTCCTGATAGAAAGTGTGCAGGAGGCAGCCGATTGGTTTTTCACTCTCTGATCTCCCCCCACCCCCCTTCTCCCTTCCTCTCTCTCTAAAATCAATAAAAGGCTTTTAAAAGCAAAACAAGCCCCAGCCGGTTTGGCTCAGTGGATAGAGCATCAGCCTGCGGACTGAATGGTCCCAGGTTCGATTCAGGCCAAAGGCATGTACCTTGGTTGCGGGCACATCCCCAGTAGGGAGTGTGCAGGAGGCAGCTGATTGATGTTTCTCTCTCATTGATGTTTCTAACTGTCTGTCCCTCTCCCTTCCTCTCTGTAGAAAATCAATAAAAAATATTTTAAAAAAAAAAAAAAAGCAAAACAAAACACTGGTCAGTATGTGACTTCCTAAGCAATCATTCTAGAGAGCTATGGGGGCCGGCAACAGGCGTGCATATTTCCAGTAGCACAAACTTACAGGCTGTTCTGAGAAAAGTCAAAAAAATGGAATTCTCCTGATTATTTAGACAATTTGATTTTTAAAAAATCTAATATCAAGACCGAAAGTTGCTTCTATTTATTCCCCAGAGTATAGTGAATTACTCTTAAATGACCAAAGTCTAACCAACCTCCGTTATTTGCCTCATTACAGAGAGAGAGAAAAGTGAAAGGTCGAAAGTAGGAAACAACCACTGGGCCATATCCATTTGGCTCTGACTTCTCTAGGTGTGCTTATCGTCAGAGACGAGTGTGTCTGATGTTGTGGGAGTTTCACACATCGAATGATGTGGCCGCACTGCCGGCCAGTCCAAACCTTCTAAAATGCATTTCCTTTCATTCTGGGCTAATTCCAGGCAGACATTTAAAGTTCTTCCCAAAATGATTGCTAACCATGGTTTTTTCTTTTGTTTTGTATGAAAAATACCCAGCCTCTGTAGCTGTTCTGTAAGATCTATAAGTAGACGTTCAACACACACACACACACACACACACACACACACACACCCAAACTACTTAATGTTCTGGTTTCTGGGTCTGTGTTTAGGCTTTTGTATGTATATACACATAAGTCTTCTCAGTTTAAGTAGAGAAGGGCCCTTCTCCCCCAGAGATGAGAATAGTGCAGCCCCCAGATGCCACTTAACTCTGCCTCTCTGGAGGTTACGGTGGTTGGAGATCTGCCAGACATTCTAAGGGGAGAGGTAAAGATCCCCAGATGCTCAGTTTATCCCTAGAAATCACTCCCTCTCCTCTGTGCATGCCTCTCATTTGGGAAGAGGAGGATTGTGGCTGATAGCATTATGTACACAACAAGTGCATAATAAAGAGGAATGGATTTGGCCTTAGGTATCCATCAGCGTACCGCAGCAGAATTCCATGACTAAGTTTGGGAGGCTGTTTTCCCCTGGATTCTGGGAAGCTGTTCTCCAGTGTGTCAGGGAGAACTGGAATCAAAACTCATAATGATAATGTTTTTACTTAAAGTCAAATTTTCGCCAAATCAAGTAGCACTATCAAAGAATAAATCTTACATTCACATTGGCATTCGAACCCCAGCTGTGCTGGAGAAAATGCATTACCTTGACTGTGGTGGCTCCGTTGGTTGAGTATCATCCTGTGCACAGGAAGGTTGCCTATTCACAGGTTGCAGGTTCAGTCCCATCAGAGCACATACAGGACGCAACTGATTGATGTTTCTCTTGCACATTGATGTTTCTCTCTCTCTCTCTTCCTTCCTCTCTCTCTAAAAGCAATAAAAATGTATTTTTTTTTAAAGTCATTGAAAGAAATAAGGTGATGGATAAAATAGTAATTTTAATTTTTTTAAACTTTTTTTAGGGTACCTTGGCTATACTAGTGGATTTTCCTTGAGCTGTATGGTTTTTTTCCTAATAGTGGTAAGTGTCGGTTGGAATAGTTGGTTTGGTTTTACCATAGTACAGTGCTATGTAACCATTATTCCTTAGTTGGCTCTATTTGATATAAAGTCTATATTGTTTCTCCTATTTTTTTTTAATATCAGGTGATCTACAAGAAATTTCAGATTCCCTGCATTGTTCCAGGGCTAAATGCAACAAGTGCTAATTCAACAAATGCTGACATGTGTACGCCAAAATATGTTACCTTCAATTCAAAGGTAAGTTTCCTTATCCTTTAAATATAAAAAAGAGCATTTTTATTAATGGCATTATATTTTTTATTCTTGTAGTAAGTAAACTGTTTTAAATGTATTCAATCTCAAAAGGACACAGTCCCCTGCTTCCAAATTCCACAATCCATTTAGAGACCTTTGAGAAATATACAAATACTAGTAGCCCATCGCGCAATATCATGCACAGTAGGCCGCCCGCCGCTTCCTCAGGAGCCGGGGGGGAGCTGCAGCGTGCCCCGGGGACCGCGCTGCTTCCACGGGAGGCAGAAGCGAGCTGCTGGCACCCACGGGAGCTGCACCGCTTCCGCGGGAGGCGGGAGGGACCCGCGCTGCTTCCACAGGAGGCAGGCCTGCCGTCTCCTCTCCAGGCCTGCACTCGGCTGCAGAGGCTGTGGGTCGGCGCCCCTATCCCTGTCCGTGTCTGCTCTGGCTCCAGGGGGCTGGCCCAAACTGGACGCAGCAACAAAGCAAGCATTGCGCCAGGCCGCTCATGCTGCCCATTCTCAGCGGCCACGCCCCCGGGACTGGGGCACTCTGGCGGGGCTGAGAGGACTGGGCACTGCCATATTTGTGGTGGAGTGATGGTTAATTTGCATATTGCCCTTTTATTAGATAGGATTATATTTCATGCTCCCTCTTTTTAAAAAAAAATACATTTTCTTTATGTCAGAGAGGAAGCGAGAGGGAGAGAGAGATAGAAACATCAATGATGATAATTATTGATCGGCTGCCTCCTGCACGCCCCCTACTGGGGATCGAACCTGGGACCCTTCAGTCCACAGTCTGAAGCTCTATCCACTGAGCCAAGCCGGCTAGGGCTTCATGCTTTCTCTTAACCCAGTTTACATGTAGGACAATGTTAAGCATTCTCTGTGAAAATGTCTTTCTCGATGATTGTCTCAGCCCTTTCCTATCGATCTATAAAAAATAGATTGACAACATCCTCAGCCCACTGCTTCCTATCTGGTGTTGACTAAAAGAAATGCCTCCAACTTCCCCAGCTTACACATTTGAAATACACATGCCACCACAAGTTGGTACTTACGAAACCGTCATACTATGCGATATTAATAGTATAGGGAGCAGTGGACTGTGGGACTAGTCAGGCTTGGACTTGAGCCCTCAAGCAAATTACCCAACCCCACGTGTAAAAACAAGTATTCTATTCTGTATCTTACTGGGTTTTTGTTGTTGTTTTTGTGTTTGTTGGTTTGTTTTTAAGAATGAGGTGGGTTCAGTGCTTGGGCAAAATTAGAGCATGACAAATGCTACCTTTCCTTCCAGTTTCTTTTTGCATAAGAAGTTATGTTGAGCCTGGCCGGCATGGCTCAGTGGTTGAGTATTGACTAGGAATTAGGAGGTCACGGTTCAATTCCCTGTCAGGGCACATGCCCACGTTGTAGGCTCAATCCCCAGTGTGGGCCGTGCAGGAGGCAGCTAATCAATGATTCTCTCTCTTCAATTATGTTTCTATCTCTCTCTCTCTCCCTCTCCTTTCCTCTCTGAAATCAATAAAAATATATTTTTTTTAAAAAACAAGTTATGTTGAGTTTGAAAGTTTTAAAAAGTCATATCTAAGAAAACAGATCTGTCTCTCTATTGCTCTCTGCCTCTCTTTTAACTCTAAGAATGAAGCCAAAGTAGTGAATGTGGAACTATTCTTCTTTTTTAGAAGCCACCTTTTAAGTCTGTTTAGATGCAGCCTACACATATAGCAAAGAGCATAGAGGTGGAAGTCCTGGGCATGTCACCTGACCCGCTGGAGGGAGTCAGGAGAACAGCAGTGGCCTGCCTACTGCTCAGGCTGTTGTAGGACTCCGAGAGATAATGCAGGAGAAGTGCAGTGTAACTGGTTAGCGCCATATAAAAATGGGTTATGCTATGTCTGGAGGATGTAAAATACGCTGCAGGTGAGATGGGTCTCAAACCTCTCTGAGCCAAGTGCCTAATGTCTCAAGCTAGATAAACTCTCTTTGGAAAGCTGTTCCTATTTTAGATATCAAAGCCCTCCTAATAACCAAATAATCCAGGGATTCTAAAGAGCTGTCAGATAAAACTACAGCTCAGAAATCCTGGAGCTGAATAATTTTATGATAAAAATACCTTTTTTTAATGTTTTTTTTTCTTTCAAATAGACCGTGTATGCTCTACCTACTATTGCATTTGCATTTGTCTGCCATCCATCAGTCCTGCCAATCTACAGTGAGCTTAAAGAGTAAGAGGTTTTTTTTTTACCTTGATCATTTTATAACCCCTCATTAACAGGCAAGCCCTGTATTAAAATAAACAGACTCATGTAATGAACCCCACGGATTCATCACCCAGTTTTAACATTTACTTTCTGCCATTCTTGAGCAAGTTCTGCATTTTAAGAAAGCAAAAACAAAAGAGGAAGAAAAACCCGAAACCTGCAATATATTTTGGATGTAAATATAGAAAGTGGTACATTCTGTAGGCTTTTTTTTGTTAAACTGGTTTTTCAAATACTGTATTACTTAGAGAGTTCAAGTATTTGGGTTGCTTTATGTTACTTATATTTCCTTGGCAGGTAGAATATAATGATCTTCAGATTCAATATCTGTAAACTGCTAAACACATGATATCTGATTTGCCTGTTGATTTAGATGGAAAAGGCTGGTAAATCAGGCAGAGAAAAATTAATGCTGAGACCACAAACTAGACAAAAGAATTCTGTCGGTCATTTTAAATGATTAAGATGATTCTATGGATTCGATTTTGATTGCTCTTCTAGAGAAAACTAAAGGCCTACTTATACCTTGCCTCATTGGTTCTCTTTTTAGCTTACCATTACCAGACTTTATATAAAAAGTCGTTGTGGTATACTCTTAAGCTCAGAAAAGATATACAATATAGTTATTTTGTATATTAAAAATATACCATTTTGAAACAAAAATGAAGTGGTTGTCATCTAGCATTGGACTCACTCATGATTCTTCCTCTTTCCTATTTAAATCGATATAGGTAAATTTTGAAATATTTACATTTATCGATATCAGTGCTAACTTTATGATCCTGTATTTAGGGTATTTAAATTTGTCTTTGGCATCTTTTCAATTTTATAGCCCAGCTTTTAGTTTGTAATTTTCTCGTGTGTACATCTCAGTTTTTCTTGTCTTCCATACTCCCTGTTATGACACAGCCAAATATGAGTATTGGTAGTCTGTTATTGAGAGCAAGCCTTATAGACTAATTATTCAGGCAGCTAAAGCAACTTAAGGTGCATTCAAACTCTCAAAGTAAACTTGACCTAAGAGACAGCCCTTCATCATCACCTTCTGTGATCGTTTGGGTACTTAGTGCTGTGGAGACACGCAGACTTCTAGGTGCACCTCTGGGGCTACTCAGTGGGAAAACTGGAACCTAATAACAGCATTAGCAACAGACACCTGAGGCCAAGTTCCAGCTCTGCCTTTCTTTCCTGTGAATGTTCACTGTGGAGAAATAGCAAACACAAGTATTAAAAAAATACTCTCTGCCCTTCAGATGAGAACTCGATGTTCTTTCCAAAAAATGGGTAAGAGCACTCAAGGAATGGTTAGTTCCCTGGGTCTCTCTCTCATTCAATACCCTTCAGTATAAAAGAAGTTATTCTAAACCGGCATAAATGCCTGGGGTAATTTCAGTTGGTCAGATCTGTTCTATCCTGATAGAAAGTGAAGTTCCTATAAACACTTTTGTGTTAACACTGGTCTTTAAATTCAGTAACATGGTTTTTAATTTTTCAAATTCTTTTATCTTTGTTTTTAGTCGATCACAAAAAAGGATGCAGATGGTTTCAAATATCTCCTTTTTTGCCATGTTTCTTATGTACTTCTTGACCGCCATTTTTGGCTACTTGACATTCTATGGTAAGTAACTTCTGTCAGTACATAAATGTAGGTCATTGTAAGTATATTAGTAGAAATCATTATCAAAACAACTTTTAATGTGATAGTTAAAAAAAGTAACACATCTGTCCATGGATTGTGCTGTCTCTTCTACGTAAAGCAAATGGCACTGGCTGCTTTCCATATTCATGCAGACTGTACAATAGAATAATTACCGAAACAATACACTGTCATGTTTTTCTCCTAATACTGGCCTTAAAAGGAAGAGCATTTTATAAGCATACCACCTGCACTGAGGAAAGTGAAAACTATATCAGAGAATTTCCTAATTGCTGTTGCGAATGGGGTCAGATTCCATTAATAGAGACACAGAGACAGATGCTGAACGGGAGAAAGAGCCGAGTGCCACCCTCACGACACCTCACATTAATTAAAAATAAAGTGCCTACTTTTTCACCGGAGGTTGGAGCCTTGCAAGAAGGTGAAGGGATGACACAGAAAGTTTTAAAGGGACTGAAATCCGAGGTACAGCCAGAAGCCCTGGAAAGGAGACATGAAGCCAGCACATTTCACTCTCAGTGGCTGCCATGCTAGCTAGCTTTGGTTGTCTTTGAAATAACATTTCCTGAGGTTCGGAGTTGAGAAAAGTCCAAGGTGGTACATAAGCAAAATGCTCTCTTTTTAAAAAAATAAGAAAAACATGCATGGAAGAGAAGAATTATTTCTTTTGTTTGCTTGTTTTTCTTTGGTTTTGTTTTGTTTCTTTGTAGAAAACCAAGCAAAAATTTATTGACCACAGCAAAAATATTCTTAGGAGAGTGAAACAAGGGCATAGAAGAAGCAAAAGGAGAGCCTGGGCGGGGCTGCCGTGGCTCACTGGGAAGTCAGAGAAAAGGGGCCCTGGAGACAGGTTCAGGGGGTGAGCCCTGGACAAGTTGCCGCTGCCCATTGCTGGCCTGGTTGCAAGTCTCGTGGGGTCCCTTAGAGGTTAAGGGGATACATGCTGGGGGGAGGGGGGAAGAGGAGAGGGGGAAAAGGAAAAGGGTAAGAGAATGGCTTGGGCATGCCCCCTGGAGGGAGAGTGCTGAGAAGAATTTTTTCTTTTTTTCTTTTTTTAAGAATTATTTCTTGATGTGATTAAGTCCCATTGGCACCCCTGTTGCTTGGCCACTGAAAGTTGAGCAGTAAGAGGAAAGTTTGAAAGAGGCTCCGAGTGGCCTGCAGTCCACCTATCTACTCAGCAGGACCAGCTATTCTGTGTTGTTGGATGTGGCACCAAATGGGAGAAAATCTAAATGGAGCATAGCTTTGTGCTTCAACCTGTGCTATTTTTAAAAACATATATTTTTATTGATTTCAGAGAGGAAGGGAGAAAGAGAGTTAGAAACATCATGATGAGAGAGAATCATTGATTGGCTGCCTCCTGCATGCCCCCACTAAGGATCGAGCCCGAAACCCAGGCATGTGCCCTTGGCCGGAATCGAACCTGGGACCCTTCAGTCCGCAGGCTGACGCTCTATCCACTGAGCCAAGCCAGCTAGGGCAACCTGTGCTATTTTTAATCCCAATTTACTCCTAGGATTAATTTAGTATAAATTAAATGTAGCCACTCTGTGTAGCTTCTTCTCATGATTAGCATAAATTCCTTTAGTTAAAGTTACGATGGACAGGGGGAGCCTGCCTCACACCAGGCATTTCTCTTCTCAACTCCATACACGGTTTTAACCGACAGCCCAGGTCATTGCTTTCCTTGCCCGTCAGTTGACGCATTCGCTGTGGTTCCGGAAAGCTGTCATTCAGGGGTGTGCTTTGCTTCCTTTCCCTGCCCGCTTTCCCTCGCTTTAGAAAACGTCCAGTCGGACCTCCTTCACAAGTACCAGAGCAAAGATGACGTCCTCATCCTGACGGTGCGCGTGGCTGTCATCGTGGCGGTCATCCTCACGGTGCCGGTGTTATTTTTCACGGTGAGTAAAGCCTCGATGTCACCTGAGAAGTGCTGAGGTCTCACCTTTCCTTCTGTCTCAGGGGCCCGTCCCAGAGAAAGCCTGTTGCTAGCTTTCCTATGTCATTGAAACTGCCTCAGGGAAGGAGCCCAAGACGCTGTGGAGATTCTGCAGGAAGAAAGTGGGATCAGTGATATTGGGTAGACTCTGGTGAAAGGAATCTTCATTCTAATTGATCTGTCCCTCTTTTTTTTATAGAGAAATGCCGGTAGCATGGTTGAATCTCGATCATACACAATCAGGGAATGTAGAAGGACCAAGAGAGAACCCTTAGCCATAGAGAAAACAAAAACAGAAATTATTCCCCCTGAAAGAAAACAATCTACTATTTCTAGGCCGGCGTGGCTCAGTGGTTGAGCATCGACTCATGAACCAGGAGGTCACTGTTCGATTCCTGGTCAGGGCATCTGCCTGGGTTGCAGGCTTGATCCCCTGTAGGGGGCATGCAGGAGGCAGCCGATCAGAGATTCTCATCATTGATGTTTCTATCCCTCTCCCTTCCTCTCTCTCTAAAATCAATAAAAAAACATTTTAAAAAAGAAAACAATCTATAATAATAAAAGCATAATATGATAATTAGACCAGATGTCCTTCTTGATGACCTTGTGGACAAGCCAAGGCTGTGAGGGAAGCCCAGGTCCCTGGTGCCTGCTGGTGGCCAGAGGGAAGCCTGAGTCCCAGGTGTCAGAGAGAAGCCAGTGCAGGCGGCTGCGGGAAGGAAGCCTACTCTTGCATGAATTTCATGCATCAGGCCTCTAGTCTATCCTATATAATAAAGAGGTAATATGGAGGCGGGGGCAGTTGGGGTGACCAGGCCAGGGGGGGCAGCAGTTAGGGGTGACCAGGCAGGCAGGCAGGTGAGTGATGAGGAGCCAGAGGTCCAGGATTGTGAGAGGGATGTCCAACTGCCGGCTGTCAGACATCCCCCAAGGGGTCCTGGATTAGAGAGGGTGCAGGCTGTGCACCTGCTGCCGCCTGAATTTCGCACACCGGGCCTCTACTTTATAAATAAAAACACGTTTCCACCTTAAATCAAGCCCCCCTGCTTCCCAAACTGTTGTGCTATCTATAAATTACAGAACATTTCACAAATCCCTGTCAGTTGCTGCTGAGAGCGTGAGTTTGGCAAGTGCAGGCCCTTATGGAGTCTTTGTTTTCTTTTCCCACAGGTTCGTTCGTCTTTATTTGAACTGGCTAAGAAAACAAAGTTTAATCTGTGTCGTCACATCTTCGTGACCATCATACTCTTGGTCATTATCAACTTGTTGGTGATCTTCATACCCTCCATGAAGGATATCTTTGGGGTCGTAGGTATGGCTTTAGGACTTCACACTTATTCTGCAGCAGCTAGTTAAGAAGCTGAAATTTCACAGTAGCAACTTCAAACTTTTTTTTTTCTTATTTTACAGGAGTTACATCTGCTAATATGCTTATTTTCATTCTTCCTTCATCTCTTTATTTAAAAATCACAAATCAGGATGAAGATAAAGGAACTCAAAGAATTTGGGTAAGTCTTATGCCAGCCACCCCAATTTTTCTGATCAGTTTTTTATATAAATGTACCAAATAAATAGTCCATCTCTGCCATCTAAGACTACTTTTAGCAGCCTCAAAGGGAAGCAGCAGTTCTGTAGTTTTCCCCTTTGGGAGATTTAAAATACTGCAATCTCATCAGAATCCTCTCTATTTCCTCCCAATAGCTTTGGAGGCCTTACTGTTGTTGTGCCTTCGCACTTGCTCTGAGCTGCGGCAGGGCCAGCTGCGAGACTGGGTGTTTGTCGTCCTGTCTCTGGGAGGTGATACCCTACCTTTAGCTCAGGGAACATGTGATGCTTCCTTTAAATGGCTGAGTTAGCGTAAAGAGTCTTTTTATGATTTGACAGAAATGCTTTGGAGCAACAGACCTGGATTCAGAAACTACCTTTCTATATTGGGATTCTTGTTTCCAGGTCTGGTGAAGTTCAAGGGCATCTTCAAGGTGGTGCACTTGGAGACAGTGAGGGAAGCAGGGTGAAGTGGCTGCTGCCTGGGTACCTTCTGGAGCACCATTTTGTTTGGCCTCAGAGAAGGCTTCTCCGCGGCCCTCCCAGATAGTGTAAGACTCCAATCGCACATGTTGCCTGAGTCCACAGACCCGGTTAAGAGGTGGAGGAGGCAGGAGGGGTCATCTTTGTGCACTGATGCTTGTAGAGCATCTTCTAACCCCACAGGATGACCCCTGAAGCCATAAATCCCATACCCTTCGAATCCTTACCAGTAGTTGCTTCACAAGGTCAGAGAGGAAGGAGCCATCACTCTGGCACAGCAGTAAAATAGACTAAGATCCGAAAATGGTACAGGCCTGTTGCCCAGGAATCCTCCGGGCTTCCCCAACCCAGCTCCCATAATAAAATGGTAGTAGGAACTACTGAATAGCGTTAGACAAGGGCTCCTGTCCGTTTGAGGACCCCCTGGGAGTTAGACCAGACCCATGGTGGTGAGCCCATGTGCATCCCTCGGAGCTCCACCCCTCGCCTCCCCTCCTGCCCGTAGCCCTTCCTCCAGGCTCCGGGGCAGCCCCCCTGGCTCTCAGGATGCTCCATCCTTCTCTCCATGGAGCTTTCATTGGATAGTCTCAAGGCCACACAATTTATAATCTGTGTTCTCCAGATTCTGTATTTAATGGTCTGTCCATCTGTGGCCTTCATGACCCCTTGAAGTAATTTGGATGTTTTCTTTTTTTTTTTTTTACCTTCAATATTATTTTGTATTAGTTTCACGTGTACAGCATAGTGGTTAGACACTCACATACTTTACAAAGTGGTCCCCCCTGATATTTCCAGTACCCACGTGGCCCCGTACATAGTTATTACTGAAGTCACTTAGTTTCTGACACTGTTTCCTATACCACTTGATCAAATTAACTTTGCTTTTATATCTTTTTCCACGTTTCAAACAGAAATGTCTGCCTACCAGCGATAACCTAGGTTGGTTGGTAAAGAGAGATGAAAGGGCCTGTATCTTTTCCAAAGCCATTTTTTTTAAGTCATAATCTTAGTCGGAAAGAGGCTGTAAGGATGGCCAGTCGCTGTAGAGGAACAAGCATGCCAGACAATCTTTCTCTACTGTCCTCTGACCCACACAGTGCCCAAGTGCCGAGCCTCTCCAGTGCGGTTTACAAGGTTAAAAACCGAATCTCAGAGCAAATGCATCTGGTTCAAAACACAGAACGTAGAGGAGGCTCTGTGTAGTTTGTTCTTACTTTCCCATCCTTGGAGAATCAGATTCGCACACAGTTTCAGAAAGATTCTCACAGTTCCACGGTGGTTGTCACAAAGTCCAAAAACATGGGTCCGCAAGGAGAGGGAAAGCGTGGGTGTTTATTTCCGAGGTGCCTGTGGGAAGTGTTTGCTTCGCTGAAATAACCCATGCCTTTCTGTTGCTGCAGGCTGCCCTCTTCTTGGGCCTGGGGGTGTTGTTTTCCCTGGTCAGCATTCCCTTGGTCATCTACGACTGGGCCTGCTCATCAGGGAGTGACGAAGGCCACTGAGACCAGCTGGGAAGCATCAACACTCCCGTGAGCTGCTCAAGCCACCAACCACACATCAGCAACCCTCATCACTTCCTTTGCAAGTTTACAGAAGCAAACAGAAATTTACAGGATACTTCAAATGGAATCCCACTTTAGTCGCAAAACAGAAACCTGTTTCTGTACGGGTTCGTGTCCCTCTAAGATCTGGGATCAATTTAAGGATCATGGATTTCCCCCCCACTTCAAATTTCACAGAATCATATTTCCTAGTACTTTACACAGTCAGTTATTTTTCACTCTCCTAACTCATTTTTTTGTGACTTCATGGTCTCTTAGAACTTTGAAAACATGATCATCAGTCATGTTTATTTATTATAGATCCAGATTCTGAAATAATTTTCTTACTGATGTTCAGCTCACACTATCTGTATCTTTTTAGAAGAGAAAATAATCTTGAATTGTATATATTTATTTTGCTTTACAGAAGAAAAAAAGGTTTCGTAAATAATTTGCCTATTTGGGTTAACATAGCACACAGGGATCATCGTTGGGGAGTCGCAGGGTGCGTGCATTGCAGGGTCTGAGCACGCCCTAGATTTGAGGTGGCTTTGATCTCCCGCAGGCAGACCAGTGGCCTCCCGGGTACTATGTCCACTTCATACAAAGACATTCCCTGGTGAAGTGTCCTCTCCGCTGGGAAGGGGTGGAAATGATTTTTACCTTGATAAACACATTAAACTACACATGTGGGGAATCTAGCAAATTAACTTTTGTTTCCCTCTTGGCAACTTGTGTCAAAGTTACTCTGACCTGAGTTAGTTTCTACTGGGGAAGCCCCATAACACCTTTATAATAAATTGAGGAGCAAGAATATTGCAAAAAGATTGTCCAAAATGCCTAAGAGAATATTCCTCTGAAGCAGATCGCCTTCAACCCTACACTGGATTGTTGGAGGGAGAAACGTTTTCTTACTAGTAAATGATAACCCCAGAAGCTTTTCCTCATGTCCACCAGCTTTCGCACAGGGAATAAGGTGTATCTAACCAAGGATGATCTAAGTAATTCCTGTTTTATATTGGGTACTTTAGGGGGAGGGAGGGTGTCTTTAAAAGACTTGTTTTATATCTATAAATTTAGGTTATTATAAATACAAGATTTTTGTATCTTAAATAAGCCTCATTCCTATTTCTTCTCCATTAACAATCCATCCAGAGTGTTAGAAAGGGAAAGGGAATAG